TAATAAAAAGTTAACTGCCAGAGGAGGGAAAATACCCAATAGGAATCCCACAATTTTATGTCAAGAACATTGGCAGAAAAAGAATGCATTTCTAATGACCTACGAGTGACAGATTCAACCCTAGAGGTTAAAAGCAGTGATCAGACAAAATTCAATTTTCTTCTTTTCTCTTTTCAGATATGAAAAATGTACCTCTGTGTGGAGGGTATTTCTACAGTATTTTTCACAAGAGTGATTTTACCATATTGCCAAATTTGTCACTGTTCCATTTCAAAGAGGTAGGTTCGCATCCTCTTCAATAACTTCACATCCTTCTTATGCCCTCTACCACAAGCCACGCAAACTAGTCTTTCTTCTTATGTATGAAAATATAAAGCATTTTTATTTTACGGCTTAACTCACTACTGTTTAATTTGTTAATTGTCTTACCATCATATGATAATAAATTATCCATGTTTTTCAGAAACTACTTTTTCTATTTCATTTCTTTATCTTGTTTTTTTGCATAGATCATCACAGAAAGTCCTCTTGGACACTGCCATTAATATTCCTGAGCAGAACTTTGTTACTGCTAATTATTAATGGAGAATCAAATGAGAATGGCTTGATTACACTATTTGATTTTTCCCATTCTATTTGCAATCCAATGGGATATTCATTCTTAATGTTATTAACTCTTCACATTTAAATTTTAAACCTCAATTATAAGCCATCTGTTGTCCTTAACTCCATAGGTCAAAAAATAAATTTAGATTTTCTCAGTCCTCTTGAGGAAATTTGAATATAGGAAATGAAATAACATGGATTGTATTACAGTTTCAGGGTTCAAAATTTTAAATGTTTTAAATTATTCAGAAGAAGGTAGCCTTTAATTCTATTTTATTCATATTGTTTTTGCAATAAACAGTATTAACTATTGTCTGCAAAGCATTGTGCCAGGTGCTGAGGAGGCTTCGAATATCAAGAAGACACAATCTCTTCTATTTTCATGGAAACAAGAAGTAAGGTAAATTCATAAATAGTTATGGTCCTGACAGTTGTTAAAAATGGGACAACAGACCCAAAATGGAGTCACTTATGCTAAACTCACATCCCCAAACCAGGACTTAACACGTAACTTACAGTTTCAACCTCACGCAGGAGTGAAATCATAAACCAGTCAACCTGAAATAACCTGGTTAGCACAAGTGAGGTAATCTTCCTGATAGATCGCTGCCATTCCCTAAAGGAAGGTGATCTTGCGACAAACAGCCTACTGTTTGCTAGTAACTTCCCTCTACCCACTTCTGCCTGTAAAAGTCTTCCATTTTGTCCAGATCCTCAGAGTTCCTTTTCTATTTGTTAGGTGGAATGATGCCTAATTATGAATGGTTGAATAAAGCTAACAAGATCTTTAAAATTTACTCAGTTGAATTTTGTTTTAGAACACAGTAAATTTTAAGTTCCTTAAGAAAAAGTAGAACATAAAAGCTGTATATCAGAAGATAGATCACTTGTAAGAGCAGTCAATGACAGTTGCATGGCCCTCTGAAGTAGCTCTTGAAGAACTTTAGGATATTGATTGTAGAGATGGCAAGTGTAGATGGGGGAGGCAATACTATATGGAGCATTTCAAGAGAGGACTAACTTTGGAGGATGGTTATAAACACAACAGGGGGTATCATTAGTGACAAGGCTGACAAAAGGCAAACTAGTACCAGATTATAAAAGTTTAAATGTAACATTCAGGGGTTTGGAATTTATCCTGTAGTCTCTACGGGTGTCACAGACAAGTGAGAGAGTGACAGTTTCAAGAAGATGGTTCTGATGACAAGTGTGTGCAAATAAATTACAGAAAGTCTGAAAATCAGATTTACGAGATATTGAGAGGAGAGAAATTGTGTGGGTCAAGCAGAGGGAGAAATCAGAGATAACTCAGAAGGCGAAAGCCTGGTGAACTGAGTGGATGATGACTCTACATGCAGCAGAAAGGAAGTCAGGAGAAGCAGCTTGCTTGGGGAAATCTGTTACTGTAGACTAGTTAATTTAAAAATGTCTTTGGCAGTGGTGAGGACATAGCTCATTGGTAGAGCGCATGCTTAGCATGCATGAGGTCCTGGGTTCAATCCCCAATGCCTCCATTAAAAATAAATAAATAAACAAAATGCCCTTGGGATGCAAAAGGGGAAATGCAGAGCAGAAAAATGAAAAAAAGGAGCTGGAACTCCAAAGAGGGCCAAGTGTTAGTGGTAAAGATTTGGAAAATGGTTAAAGCCACAGGAGTGATTGGACTCAAATGAAAGACTGTGGTGATAGAAAGGCAGAGAGCTAATGATTATTCAGGACTAGCATTACCCAGTTTACTTCATTCACACTAAATTCAAACGCTAAGACTGACGCAGCACCCAGAACCTCCGAAACAGAGAATGGTCAACAACATCAAATGCTGCTGAAAGAGGCAGGGCTGGGGGTTTCTGTTTGAATTTGGGATTAAAGTCACAATTGGGAGACTGTATAAGCAGTCTTTTTATTTCCTCAGGTCGAGGGTAGGTTTGGCAGTTAGCTACATCATCTGACAGAGTCAGATATCAAACTGGGTAACTCCTACCTCCCCCAATGCACCTGGAGTCTGAATCATACATTTGGATTTTCCAGAACTGACCACATTATGTTGTAACCCCATGTCTTCTGGCTAAACAATAAGCTCCTTAAGGGAAGGTCTCTGGTCTTACAAGTGCTTGGCCCTTTAAGGAAGCTTAGTACATTTTTTGATAGAGTAGTTGAATGAAAAGTGGCCAGAGTTGTGTGTAGATCCTCAGCCATTCACAGGAGTAATGAGGAATACAAGAAGAGAACCGAGGATTCAGTATGACGTGTGTTCTGGGGCCAGAGACCTACTGATGATAAAGATGACTAAAGGGCCCTAGGATGGGACAGTGAGTCAGCCTTCCCACTGCTACCAGAAAGACATGATTCATGGATTAATCAACAATTATTCTCAATTTACAAGTAAGTTTACAAAGGCAGACAGGTTAAGTCACTTCTAGAAGATCACAATGTGTCAGCAGGAGATCAAAGCTTGTAGGAACTGGTTTAGCATAGAGCTCCTGGTCTGTAACCTCACCTAGAGAGGTTCCAAACTTCCCTGAAACTTCACTTCTTAGGTGATGAGTTATGAAGTTTTTCCCTGAGGTTAGTGTTACATGAGCAACTCAGGGGAAATGTACTTTTAAGTGACAAAGAATTACCAATGCTGACATTCTCATTTTAAAAAACCATATGTGGCTTGCTTTATTTAAAAAAAAATTAGGAGTTCTTGACGGGAAGGTAAAACATATCCTACCCTCACCCTCCCCAGAAACAAACATTTACTGAATAATGAACAAATATGGGACACAATTATTTACTTATGTTTTATCCAGCACCTTCGAAATGACAAGTGGATCATTGCTCTTCCTTCTAAGAAGTATATTAGATATTGGTTTAAAAGGATCATTTCTTGAATAACAACCAGGAACAAGCTGAGGCGAAGTTACCTTCCAGCTTCTTTTTTGACCTCACTGCAATCTTGAAACAGGGCACGGAAGAGTTAACCTGAGGCCCAGACAGTCTCCTGCTGATCGGTAATGATTGAGAGCTGCAGCTGAATGTCAATAGCTCGGTGAACTTGGGTAACCCAGCTGAGCCCTCTGCTTGCCAGAGCTGGAGGAGGTAATCAGCTTGACCTGCGTGACCTTCCTGAGGCTGTGCTCTGTCCTGGATCCAGAAGCTTCTTTGCATATGACTCCTACAGGCTGTTCCATTGAACCCCTTTCAGGAGAACTGAACCTGAGTCAGCCTTAAAAGGAAACAAAATATAAATGAGTCAGTGCTGGTTACAGGTTGCACAATATGGTAGGTGTTTAAAAAAAAATTAATGGGAACATATCCTGGAGGCCTCAAAAAGATTTCCAGGAACAGTTATGACATCTGCCCTTCCAGCATTGAAGGTTATATAAGAGTTCTGTCAGTACCTCACATTTCTTTGTGGAGTTGTGTTTCCTCCGATGCTTTCAGCTTTCTGGTTTTGAGAAACTGATTTGCTTTTGTTTTATTGTTTACTCAACACTGTTTTCACTGCATTGTTCCAAGGAGGCCACACACAGAGTTTACATCATAGATTAAGAGCATATTTCTTCAGATCTTCATTGAATTTTGAAAGAGCATTCCATGTTATTCTGTTTAATAAAAGAAACTTGAACAATAATTTAAGCTCCTGTCTATCTGTGTCTAAATATACTGTTATTAAAGGAATGTTATTCATAAACTGAGAGTGTGAATGCTAATTCTGCTGTTAAACTGTATAACTTACATAACCAAGTAGAGCACAGCTAACAGTACTTTCCATAAAAGTCAGGAAGAGTGATTTGAATAATAAACACGACCCTATCCCCTATCACAGACGATGCAAATCCATAAACAAGTCCCATAGCAAGTACACAGTTTATATTCCCAAGAAAATGAGGCTTAAATGTAACAAAACGATTCAGCTGACTTACACTCATAACAGTCTTCAAGGACCCAAACCCAAAGGCACATTATTCCACCCAGGAGCCAGAGGCTATTCTTACCCGGAAGTAAATTTACCACCAAGTATATTCATTAGGCGTGCTCAGTCTTTAGTAGGCAAAAATTCTTGATCACGACTAATGGATTCTGCCTGGAAAAAATTTACTTCAATATCGTAATTTTCCTTGGTTTCTATAATAATAATTTCTAAAATCCTTATTAAACAATTGCCCCAGAAAAGGTGAATTCTTTCTCTCATGTAACCAGCCACCATCATTACTTGGCAGATTACAGGAACAAAGGAGATGCAGTTTCCGTATGGGCAAAGAAAACAGGCAAGGGAAATCAGAATCTGTGATCAGATACTATAAAATACTGTGTAGCCTTCTTTGGACAAGCACACATGGTTTAGACTATGGGGGAAAAAAAGACTGCTAACAAGTCTATATTAAGCTTAACATTATACTCTCAACTTGGTCCTAAGAGAAACAACACAATTATGAGCCCTAAGATGAGCTGAGGTAACAGATGGTGAAGATTACTTGAGGGAGATGACACCTATATATTTGACCACAACTGTCAAACATACACACAGAATGGCTACATAACAACTGCACTTTTACCCGGACTTGCCCATTTCTGGCTCAAGCATCTTGTAACTGACAGCTTGAACATCTCTGAACAAATATCTTAAGAGTGCAGTTCCCAAAGGAGGTTTGATTTTTCCAAACACACGCCACGTGTCCGAGTAAATCATGCATGGAGACAGGGCTCTAACAACCAAGTTAAACTAATAAAATATATTTTCCTTGCGGATTTTTAAAAGCCCGTTAAGATTGGATCACATGATAACTAGTTATTTTAGCAAAGTCTAAATTTATACACCGTTTGCCTCTAGAAAGTGTCACATGTTGGTTTCTGCCCGTAAAACACTCCTTTTTACAAAGATTTGTAGTATCAATCTCTGCTAAAGGAAATTAAAGAGCAAATCTGCTTTGTCTAATTAGATCGCATTGTAACAGCGCAGAAGAACTTCACTGCTTTATTTGGAGTGTCTCTTTTTTTACTCCTCTGTCCCACTCACCACCACCCACACTTCCCTGAAGGGAGACTAGCTTTGTCAAAAGATTTCCTGGTAAATCAAAAGCACTTTGCTGATAGTAATAGTGTGCATTGCACCAGAATGAGACCTAGTAATGCAGTGCTCTCCAAAATGAGTCCCTGTTGGCTCCGGTCGATCAGATGCCTAAAACCTGAAATGAATAAGGAGGCTTCAGAAATTGCTCCAGTAACTAGGTTAAGCTAAACAAATATACTTACCTTTTGCATAGCTCCATAGTTCTACAGTCGAAATATAATTTGCACAGATTAGCTGCCAAAGTATACTTTTTGTGTTCTACTTATTGAGGTTACGAAATGACCGCGTGCTGTGCACTAGGGCCCGTCAAGAAAGATAAGTCTCCCATCTCACAGACATTTTTAAGGGCCTTATTTGATGGAGAGCGGACTCAGTGTCAGAATCTGTGATGAGTGAGGGCGAGAAAAGATAATTAAGATACATGCTTAATCTAAAGGAGTTTCTATCCCAACAGGAGTGAAAAAAGACAAATAACAGTTATACATAATAAAGTTGTGCAAATACCATAACAGAACGGTGAGTCAGGTTCCAGGAGTGCCCAGAGATGGGGGAAGTCATGGGTTCTATCTGAGCCATTAAACAAAGGCTTCTCAGCAGAGATGGCCTGAGACCTTCAAGGGTGACATCGAGTAGGAAGTATGACAGGAGACACAACATACCATGTGGCAGGCACATCCCAGTGTGTGTGCCCCGTGCTGCAACGCTGGGGCTAGTCCTAGGTAAGAGAGGAGAACAAAAGAATCCAGAAGTTTGGGCAACCAATTTTAAAATATGTTTAATATGAAAGAATCCAAACATTAACTAAAGGAAAGAGAGTAAAAAATCTCTCAAATGCCTGTTGCCTAGATTGAAAGATTATCAAAATGTGGGCATATTTTTTTCATGTACCTTGTTTTCTTTTCTTTTTTTCCCTCTTTTTCCTTAGTTTTTAAAAAAGTATATTCCAGGCACGTATCAGTTCACTTCTGACTTCATTATCTATCTCTAAAAAAATAATAGGGAACAATGCCGTTATCACAAACAAAACTAATGCTACTTCTTAGGTACCATCTAATAGTGGGTCATATTAAATCTCTCCATTTTTTTTTTCCAAAACTGTCTTTGGTTAGTTTATTAGGTTGGTGAGAGTTTTGTTTTTTTTTTTAAAATGGCACCCCATGCAGTTGAATAAGTCTCTCATAGGCATTGAGAGTTCCCGGAGGACCCAGACTGCATCTAAATCCTTGTTGAATAGCCCCGTACCTAGAACAGTGCCCAGCTCAGAATTAATCCTAAATAAATGTTTGCTGAATTGCATTGACCTGAACTGAAGAAAGCTTTTAAGTCGAGTGCCATTTCATCAGTGTTCAGTTTTCACATAATTCTAACAGCTATAGGGTAGACATTGGAAGGCTTGTTCTAACAAAAAGTCTGTGTGTTCAAGGGGCCTGTAATACATGGGATCAACGTTGCAGGTGTCAAAGACCACAGGCCATCTACTGGAACTTTATTAAACAGAAATGATCAGTTTATAGACTTACTGAAATGACAAGCTTTTAAGTCTTCTGGAATGTGGAAAAGGGCTCTATTTACCATTGAATATCTGAACAGACTAGTATCTGAACAGACTAGTATCAGAGAGAGGTCTTCCTCAACTAGGCTGAAATGTCTCCTCTAGCCTAGCCTAGCCTAACCTGTCTAGGCTAAACGGTGTCCTCCTCTGATGATGATGATGATTAAGGAGTTGTTTTAAAAATATGCATTTCAACAATGTTCTGGGGGAGTTATTCTTGGCCTGTGTCTTCTCAGTACCTAAGAAAAGAAACCACTAGAGGAGAAAAAAGAATCCAGGAAGAATAGTACTCATCATCCACAAAGTTTCAGCACCTTACAATTTGAGGTGCACTTATACATCTTTTATCTCACTGTTTCTCTTTGCTATTCATAACAATTGGTGAAACATATGGGGGAAATATTACCTACATTTAATAGGTAAGTAAACTGAGGTCCAGAGTAAGTGACTGCCATAGTCAAGGTCTCAAAGCTACTTATTGGTGGAGGCAAGATTTGGGGTCAAGTCTCTGGATACTAAGAATGGCACTGGTGATTTTATGTTTCTACCATTTTTTTGATTTTTATTTTCCATTCTTAGCATTGCCTTAGTTCCATTTTCTTGTAGCATCAAATCTCCTGTGCAGAAGCTGGAAAACAATGAAGGCTCCCTGTCCTTGTGGGTGGACCAAGTAAATAAACTTCAAGCAGTTTGAAGTATCCTCAAGAGTTGACAGCCTCCTCTTCATATTATTTTTGTAAATTCTTCAGGCTCCATTATTATTTTTGAAACTTTCTTTCTAGAAATAAACAGACTCATATTTTCCCCATAGAGTAAACCTTCTGTTAGTAATTGGTGATCCAAAATAACTTGAACTGTTTGTTATGTAACTGGTATATATATATATTTTATCAACAACCATTTAGAAAGTTTTAAGTGTTTTGTGTTCAATTTGTTCATAGCATCCATAATATATATATACTGAATGAATGGATAATCAGACATTAATACTGCTTGAATTTTGACCTCATTAAATTTTTGTATGAAAATCTATGATAATCAGATTATGGTATTAAAATAAAATGCATAGAACAACAATCAGTTCTGGTTCAATTATTCCACAGCAAATTATCTTTAGTCAATTATTATGAATAAATGTATATGGTTCTTGCATTCTTAATATATGAGCTACAAATTCTGCGTTTAGTTTTCTATTGCTGTTCCTTGTATAACATCCATTTTGTTCAGCTTGTGGTCTTATTTCCAATGCTACCTATGTTTCCAATTTTTCTTTTCATTTTCTCTTAGACTATTTCATTATAAAAGTTTTCCTAATTATTGAAAATGAAATCGTTCTGTATAAGTGCCCTTAGAAAAGATTGTACAATAGTCAAGTGCTGTAATTTTTAAAACCAAGAGAAATTGGTGTAAGATATAAATGAAGGTTACTTTGGATTTGTTCTCTCTAAAAGCCCCAGAAATTTAATTGCAAGATCGATTGTTTCCACTTATGGGCCACGTCTGCTTCTGGGGGCTATATTTGGTTCCAAAAATCTTATTGCAGAAACTTCTGATTGAGATCACACTCTGTCTTTTCACACAGTGATTTCTCAGAACACTCCACTGACATAGGTGCTAATTTCTGTCCTTCTTTATTTCCTACAAGTGGAAGTAGAGTGAGAATGTCCGACCAGCCTTTTTTCTTTCAAATTAACTTCTAGCACTTTGAACACTCTTGGAAAGGAAGGAAATTCATCCCCCACGAACAGGGAATTATGCAGGTTTACAAAGTTGAAGTTTCACTCTCCATTTTGTTAAGGTTTTTGTTAATGGCTAGTACAAGGGAAGATCTTACTGACACCAAGAAAATTTCTTAAGAAAGAGGAAGAACAGACGATATTAAACTTATTGGAGTGGTTGCATTTCAGAACAACAAAAGGGGAATTTTGACAAGAGTGGAATTGAGCTACACACAATATGAGTGTTATAGACAATGCATGGGAGTTCCCTGGTGAGTTTGAGGCTGCAGCAAGCCTGCCTTACCAAAAGATGGTATTCAGAGGGATGCTGAGAACCTCAAAGTGACTGTGTCTTAACTCTATTTGTCTTCACCACAGCATACATATAGGTGGGGTTCACTGCCCTCTATCTCCCAGGAGTGCTCTGAGGGCCTTGCAAAAAATAGGTGTTTAATTAAAGGTTTGCTGCATGAATGAATGCATGGGCCCAGGTTGATTCAGAAAGAAAATTTACATTCATATGACATGGTATCTCCAGAAGCTCTTAATTTCAACTCCCATCCCCTGGAGACCTCGAGAAGGAAGCCTGGGGTGATCTTTCTAAAATGCACATCTGCTCCTGACATTCTTCTGACTAATCACTTTCAGTGGCTCCCATGTACCTGTAGGAATCAATCCACACTTCATAGCTTGGCAGGGAAAGCACCCGCTCCTGCCTCAGACTCTGGTTTCATCTCTTCCTCCCACTCCTCTACTCACTCCCCCATCTCCCAGTAAATGAGATGTATCACCCTGCGTTCTCTATGCCATTTTCAGCGTTTATATTCTTCAAGTCCCTAGTTAATCTGTCTTGGTATCAGTTAAAACTCACCTCCTCTGAGCAGCTCTCCCTGCAACCCCACTTCCTGTGGCCTGGTTGGCTGGGTGTCTTGCTCGGGCTCTCAGTACCTTTGGTCACACAGGTAAGTGGGGTTTGCTGTCTGTTTCCTGGGGCTGCTCTCTGAAGAACCTGGGTCTTTTTCACCTTTAAATCCAAGGCACTTGGCATCAACATGCCAGGTACACAGTAGGCACTCAAACACATTGGGGAGAAAAGTAGAGGAAGAAAAAGAAAGAATGGTGGGAAGGAAGGAGAAGAGAAGGAAGAAGTAAGAGGGAAAAAAGTTACTATTGATTCAGACCATTTTTCTAGGCTTTGCGAGCCAGAAATGAGCTCGAAAAAGAAAACAATGTTCAACATTAAAAAAAAATCTACTAAACATGGAATGTATATTTTAAAGAATCAGCTTTCATATTTTGTAACTTGTTCATAAGGCTTAATAGCAATAATTGTGAATCAATTCCTCTTGAGTGATTACATGATTTAAAAAACAAAAGCAGTAATTTTCTTATTAAAGCTTGCACGTTGAAATCAAAGAAAGCATAATTATTTCCAAGTTTCTTTGACTTCAACATGGAGATGAAAACCCACTTCAGAAATAACAAAATTCTCACTCTATCCTATTTTGTTTAAATGCCAAGTCAAAGGTTCATTATTTTGCAGTTTTTGATGTGTTTTGGGGTCATGAGATAAGTCTATTTTACTTCCTCTTTACCACGGGCTGGAGGCTTTTAACTATTTATGGATTTCCCTGATCTGCGAGCCCGGCTAATCTCACCGCTCCAAGGAGTGTGGAATTGTAACAGAAGCGGGGCTTTCTTTAAACATGGTTGCCTTGAAAGAGAACTTAAGATGTGCTTGAATATTTTTAAAATATGCAAATATGAGATCATTTAGAGAAAAATATATGTAAGTAGCCATGTTAATTATAAAATCTAACACTGTAATATAAATTCCTAAGTTTAAAAAAAAAAAGAGGTCAGTGCTGGGGATGGGGAGAAGGGACGTGCAAAACACAGGAAACCACCAAAGACTGTCAATAGATGATTCCCTTCACCCTTCACACGCACCCCTAGCCCTTTGCAAACTGCCTGGATTATCAGGGACCTCAACAAAACAAACAAACCAACCCATCGTACCAGGCAGAGAAGACTGGTGTTTGACTCTAAATGCGCAAGTAAGAATAAAACTTTGTTCATTGATCGTTCACATAGGATAGTCTTGCTTTAATCGTAACCATGTCCTTCACCCCTCTGCAACCTTTCTACTTCTAAACATTGAGCCTCACAGCAGGGAAATCCGCCTATCTCTCAGATCAAGAAACCTGATCCAAGGCCATTCAGTATGGAACAGTGAGTCTGAAGCAAAACAGAGAACCCAGGCTCTGGATTCCCAGTTGGTCAGACCACTAGACCACATTGCACCATCAGAGCAAAGGCAAACATCAGGGTTGTTCCAGGACAGTCTCTGTGTGTTTACCGATGTGTTTGCAGCCTTTCCGAAGCCCTGTTGTCCTATTTCTTTTTCCTGTTTGCAACTTGTGAACATTTCTGTCTTCCTTTCCTCTTACCTAACCTATTTCTATGATCACTTTTACCCTTTCATTTGAAATAGATTCTAGGAGCAACTGAAGGGTAAAATGCAATAAAATGACAGGTTCTAGGCTGTCTGGAAACACACTTATGTCAGGGTATTGGTGCATTTCTGACTGTAGATAATATCAAGGAAGTGCAACAGCGCCCAAGGATATTTTACAAAAAATAAAAGGTGCTTTGAGCACAAGGCGACTTCAGACTCTCCCCACGAGTTTTGAGTCAGAGGGCCTTAAGGCAGTAAGGAAGTGATGGAAATTAAACAATCAGTTGATTAGGCTCCTTTCAACTGGAATGCAAGGGTGAATTTGCCCAAACTTATGTTGTGAATAAAACCTTACATTCTCAAAGTGTCAATTTAAATACACGGGGTGCGTCAAGAATCACATAAGATAGATTCACAGTCAATGTGCAGCTTTAAAACACATGATCAATGAGACAAAACTGAAGGGCCTAGAAATGCAGTAGGAAAAACAAACTTAGCCCATCATGATCGCCAATACTTGAGGGAAAGCAGGCTGCTCATCTAGAGGAGGTCAAGAAGGTAGACCAACTGCTGTTGAACTTTGAAAGTGAACCCTAAGCACCAGAAAGAGTGTAAGGTTAGAGACACTGGTTTGATTTTTAGCTAATTTCATTTAACTTTATTCCTCGATAGAGGAATTACAGGTTTGTCCTAACTCTATAATTAAAAGTCATGGTCAGGGCAATATATGGCTACAAAATGTAATGAATATTCAATATTTTTATCAGAAATCAAGAATATATACTTAGAGAGGCAAAATCGTTTTTCCTAGCCTGTAAATTTTATGGATTTCTTCTCTCTAAGTCTCTTTTGGTTTCTATAGCCTGTCTCTCTTAGTTTCAGAATCTGTGTCTTCAGAGTTGAACCAGAACATCCACCTGGTCACCAGGCCAAACTGGCCCTGCAGCCAACAGAGCCAACTCTTGGGTCTTTGCTCTTGTGAGCCTGAGATCAGGCCACTGACAGCAGACAGCTGCAGTGACCTCCTGTGAGGAAACTGGCTGTGAGCCCTGACCCCTGGGTGGGGCTGGAGCTTTGCAGTCATGCCCATTGCCTAATCCCTCTGACTCTGGTGGAACCTAAAAGCTGCAAGGATGGGCCGACTCTTCCCTCAAGAAGGGTGTGGAGGGAAGAAGAGAGAAGGTGGCCAAATCACCCTGGGCCGACGGAGGTTCCTCCAAGTCTCCCCTCCTGGGAAAGTCAAGACCCTTCAGCTCTTACAGATTCAGTAAGATGACAGAATCTTTGGAATTGGGAACTGACAGCCAGCTTGATAGTTCATCTAAGAGAAAAGAATGTAATTAGGCACTAAACCAGGCTGGATAGAAGACACAAGGGGCTCTCTCAGGAGCCCTAGGAATGGAAAGAATGACATGCCCCTGTTCACAAGGGACTTGGGGAAACCAGGGCTTCCTGTGATACCGCCTGGCTTTCACCAAACGGCCAAACTTAACCTGATTGTGGTAGGTCATTGTCTCAAGGGGTTTGGAAGAGAAAGGGGAGGAGTCTGATGGCTTACTTAGTCCATGAGAGGTTTTGTTTGTTCATTTTCCCTGATTGTCCCCTAGACTATTTTCCAGATATTTGGCTCCTAGGTATCTTCTCCTAGAGAGAAATCCCAACAATGGAACATAAAAGAAATTACATAAAACCTTGTGAATATTAACTTTCATAGAATATTCTTTTGTGTCCTGGTGTCCTCAGTGCCTGGAAGCCAGGTAACTACACAATAGGTAACCTACACAATCGTGAGCATGACTTCCCTCAACCAAATGATCCATGTGGCCTTCCAGAATGAACACACCTGGAAAAACCAGTTAGTAAAAGCACTGGGTTTTCAGCAGGCATGAAGAAAAACAGAGGGGCAGCACTGTTTCCCTCACATCATCCCCTGATGGCTTCCAACAGTCTTTGATCAAATTCTCTGATGTAGGTACCCAGCCAAATTCTTTGATTTCTCATATTGCCTGGAGGAAGCTAGTACTACACCAAACAAAAGAGGAAGAAAATTCACCCATTCATCCTCCTGAATCAAAAGGCGAGGGGAGGAGGAACCCTTTACAAGTTAGTGATCCTCCTCCCCCTCTCCCTCCTCCTCCTCCCTCTGGCTTGTTTTGGTGGGCTGCATCCTAGCTCCATTCCCAAATAAAAGCTTGAATGGGAGGATCTGGTACTTTCTCATTTCCTTCATAGAATCAAATGGCATGACGCTTCCCTTAGAGACTGATTAACTGCTTGATTGACTGATTCATGTATTCATTCAGGCATTTAGTGGGCATTTGTTTAGGGCCTGCTTTGCAATAGGCCCCATGCAAAGTCCGAGAATGCAAAGACAAAAGGATATGAGTATTTGCCCTGGAGAAGCTCATGGTCCAGTAATAGAGACAGACATGAAAACAAATGTTTTGGGTATGAATCATGGCTCACAAACTGAAATGTGAGTACAGTAAAGGTTATCTGTCTTTATTTTCTTTAAAGGAGATTAAATGCTACTCTAAGCTCTCATCCTGCAGGGCATCTGGGAAGTTTAATCTTAGTCATGGCTGAGGGTCCCTTCCTGCTTTGCCTCTGTGTCACCCAGAAGTCGTGTGGTTTTCCATAGCCCCAAGCATGTGAAGAGAACCCCTGCAATCTTGAGCCCACCTAGGCTATTCCTGGATGCCTGTGGTCCAAGCCTGGCTGGTTACTTGAGATCTGGAAGTCCCACTATATTCACGACACACATGGGCCACTGAATCCTTAAGGACATGGGATCCTGCTGCCTAAAACCAGCTCCCTAGATAAATGGGTACCCCTCCACCCCACCCTGTGGTCTTGCCACCATGCAGGGTTCCACCAAGAGCAGAGCCTGCATGGTGGGTTCTGCTGGGTTCTGCCAACTCCACTCTCTCCCTCGCCTGGGATGATGATGTCCTCACTCTCCCTCCTCTGTATTTTCTGTGCTCCCAACACAGCAGAATCTGCTCCAGGAGATAACTACCGAAGGAATGAATACGGATGAATATCCCAGGAATTCTTCTGCCCCCAGACACTAACAGCAATTGTCTCCTTGACGGTTGTGCCTGGGTGACTCACAAGCCTCACCCCAGCCCCAGCCGAGTGCCAGAGGATGTGCTCAGATAAGTGTTGTAGGAAGGATACAGCTACCCATGGGGATTTGGGGACTCAAAAAGGTTGATTTTTCTTCTGGATCAGGAGATGTAGGGAGATGTTTGTAGTGTGCGTAGGCCACGGGAGATGGACATCTGGGGTCAAGAGGACAGAATGTATGAAACAGAGAGGGGTGACAGAGCCTATCTGTTCCAGGGAATGTGAAAGTGTGAAAATCCTCCTATGCTTAGTGCAGGGGGGTGGGGAGGGCACTGATGACAAGTGATGAGGCTAGAAAAGACGTTAGAGCTCAATTCTGAAGGGACTTAGAGTAAATCTGGGGGGTTTCCAAGGTGAATTTCTTTCTTTCTTTTTTTTTAAATTGAAGTATAGTCAGTTACAATGTGTCAATTTCTGGTGTACAGCACAATGTCCCAGTCATGCATATACATACATTTATTCATCCAAAGTGCATCTCTAAGGTAAACAGTTGAAGGTCATTGCCTACACTGTAGTACTGAGGGAAGTCATGGACTTTGGAGTCTGTTGGATGTAGCTTGAAATCCCAGCTCCATCGTTTTCCTGCTGTATGACCCTTGCTGTACCTCAATCTCTATTACCTGTAAAATGGGCATAGATAATCGTAGCATCTTTAGAGGATTTTTGCAAGAACTGAACAAGGCAACATATGGAAGCATCTGCCCAGGCCTGGGCACATAAGTAGTATTAAAAAAGTGTTGGCCAGTAACAGTATACTTATAAAATTATTTTCACATCACTATACTCACAGGACCCGGAGAGGTAGGCCCAGCAGTACTGCTGTCCTAGGATGCAGCTCGTAGAGGCACCTGGAGATCAAAATTTGAAGTGCTCACCTGACTAAGCATGCTGGCAGACGTGACATGATGTGACATCATGGATCATAATGATCCCAAAGGTCAAAAGAGATGAACATCAGGACCAGAACATGGGGCAGGGCTTTGAGGATTTCAACAAGATCAAGGCAGTGTCTGGCACCCAGACGCCACCCAACTCATTTTGTTTTGAGGTTTCCGAGAGACATAATAAAAATTAAAATGAGCCATCAGAAGAGAGAAAGTGGTATATTAGCTGCCAAGTTCTGCTGGAACAGAGCACCACAAACCAGGTGGTTTAAAATAAGAGAAACTTATTGTCTCACAGTTCAGGAAGCTGGAAGTCCAAAATCAAGCAGTCAAGAGGGCCACGTGTCCTCTGAAACTCTGGGTAGAATCCTTCTTTGTCCCTCTCTAGCTTCCGGTAGGAGCGACTCTGTGGCCACATGATGCTCTCCCTGTGCGTCTGCCTCCTCCAGTTGTCTCTTCCTTTTATAAGGACTCCAGCCACTTTGGATTAAGGGCCTGCCTACCCCAATATGACTTCACCTTAATTTACATCTCATTCATGTCTGCAAAAACTATTTCCAAATAAGGTCACAGTCACAGATACCAGGGGTTAGAACCTGAACATATCTTTTTGGAAAACACAACTCAGCCTGCAAGTGGTCTTATGGAAAAGGCACTGGGCTTGGAGCAGTGGCTGTGGTAAAGTTACCTCTCAGGAGTCAGATACGTTATTTGCAAAATCAGAAGTGGCTGGAAAATGCTATGATTACCCAAGCCTGTCTGGATTCTCAAAATGAGATGCATCTAGAGGCAAAAACTGAAGCAACTCATTGAAACCGTGTGTTCAAATCAAAACTGCAGTTTGAGGAACTAGGGATTACATAACTAATAACCTAAGACTTCACTGACCCTGGCTGCATTAGGAAGCAGGGCTTATGAAAAAATGCCCTCTGCTGAAACAATTTCTTCAGTCGGGCAGAGGATAGATTTTCTTGTGTAACTGGCGTTTTCCACACCTCCCTTAAAATGTGCTTTGATAAAAATATTCGAAAGAAATAATGTGAAGTGTAAGGAAGTGGCAAGCTCCATTAACTCTCTAAATCTGATCATCCTACGCAATGATTTGAGTTTTGAGCACTAAACGAAACTC